CAGACTCATTAAGCTGTCTGTAGAATCCTGGCATCGTTTTTCGATTGGTACTGGCAGCCATCTTAGTACAATATTGAACAATGAATACGCGCCCGCGGTACCGAACCGCTGACTGTACGTAATTTTTCGCCATGTGTGGTTGCCTTATCACACGTGAGTAGAGTTTGTTTGCCCTGCATTTACTCGAGAGTTTTCCTACGGTTTTCTACTTTCACAAATTCCAAAAAAAATCCAACTAGGCCTGTTAGTTGAACTTGTCCTGCGTTTAATCCGCCTAAAGGTTGTTTTAATTAATGCTCGATAAAGTTTGAAGGGTTTGAAAATGCTTTTTAGTTGTATACACTTAGATTCAATGATCCCTTTATTGTCAAACAATGTTCATCAATCATGTTTGTTCTTTTTCAACATGTGGTATCCGCTTCACTTATGTCGAGTCTTGCCGTAGAAGTTCGACCGTTATCGTGATGTTTGAGAGTCTGTGAGAAAACAATAATATAAAATTCCTTCATTTTCTTTGTCAATTCTTACACATGACAAGTTTTACTACGGTTTTACTTTTTCTGTGAACTCTGAAACTCAAACGACAACCGCCGTTTTCGCTTCCATCATTCAAATTTTTGAAATTTTAGGGAATGTATGTTTTCTGAGACTTTGACATCCAATATGGCGGAGTTTTAGGAGCATATTGCAGCCATGAAGCCACACATTTAATTATATTATTTATCCTTTTTGTAATCATTACCAAATCCTTTAATCTGATTGTTTAAAGGAGTGCGATTAATTCTCAAATCTCATCCTTAGGAGCTCTTAATCACATCCTTTTGAGCTCTTAATCGTATTATTTTGAAAGAGCCAATCACAGAACATAATTCTTATAGGCAGCCAATCAGAGAAGAGAATGATTAGCATTTTTTATGAATATTTAATGATTTGCTGATAAATCGTTTATTTTATACCAGGAAAAACCTGATTGATTTCCTTCTTCTTCTACATTAAATTGATTATTCTGCACTCTTTATTATGTCTTTTTCTTGTGTATGATTACGAAAAGGATATCATTAAGTGGTAATTGAACTTCGTGTCGTATAGTGCAATTTTGGACCAATCACTCGAGTGTGATTTTGGTCCAAATTGCACTCCACTCAGTTCAATTATCATCATTAATTATACTATATCAATTATATATTGCCTCTATTTATAAATGGAAGAGTAATAAGTGAGTTTCTCAACAGACTCAAGTTAGTGTTGACTGTTGTGAACTGATTTATCGGATTTGGTGTCCGCGTCGGTCATTGTTTGTTCGTCGGACTTCGAAAGTTTGATTGACGGAAGCGCAGCGCCAAATCACGTTTGCCGTTTGAGTGTTCGAAAACTGCAGTAAATTGTTTCAAATTAACACTCTTATCAATACTTTCTCATTTTTTCATTCATTCGTTTGTTTTCTATTTTTCTTATTATTTTCTCTTGAATTCCTTTCACTCACTCATGCATCCAGCCACTCCTTCGTTCTTTTTTTTTTCATCCATTCAACTTTTAAATAGTTTTCAATTACCTCGATTTCTTTTTTAAGGTCTTGCACTAGTTTTTTAGACTCGGTTCTCTTTGTCTCTAAGTTATTGACAACTTGTCTCCAAGCCTCAAGTTCTTCTTCCTAAATAAAAAATGGCAAAATTAGCAATAGTCCTTAACAATTGTTTTTAATTTGGTACCTTCCTAACCAATTTCTCAAGATAAAGAGAGTAATAGTCAGATAAACACAATAAAACATAAAAGAATTAGAGTGAAGTAGTGCTAAATAAACTAAAGTGTATTTCACAGGTTTATGAAAACCACTTTATGAACGCTATATCCGTAACACAATTGTTAAAATAGCTAAGAATTCACTTAGGCACGAACCAAATAAAGACGCGTAGAGGTATTTGCTTTTGTTCTCAAAGTTTTTCTCCAGTAATATCAACTATTTTGTACAAAATAGCTGCAATTAGACAACACATCTTCTTTGGTTTTGTATCACGGATACATGGCATGCACTTTAGTCAATATTCTGACGCTGAGTCTACTGTAATCAAGGCGGGAACAGCGGTTTTTTAGAAATTGGAGTAAATGCTTCCGAAGTATAATTCAAATTTTAGGTTCCAAAATTCCCTCGTGGTGTCACCGATTCACTAGTTTATTGATAAAGCCTTTCTTATGAATACTAGCTTTAGTTTTTTTAGGTTGAGTTTAACTTACCTGTGTGGACAAGAGCTCTGTCATGTGTTCTATAACGGCATTCTTTTTATGAACCTCGTCTTTCAGCGTCCGTAATTGAGATTGCATGTCATTCATTTCTATTTCCATTTCTTTTTTAGTCTCTTTCTTCACGTGATTCACAACTTCATTCAAAGATGACGTCATTATTTTCAATATGGCGTCCTTTTCTACGGGATTGATATTTAATGAATATTCATGTTCTAAATCTCCCGCACTTATTGATTTGCTATTAAACCCTGTTTGAATTAATGAAGATGTTTTTTCGCTGGGGCTTGATGGTCGAGAAGAGATTGGGTCTAGTAACCCGCCCCGCGAAGAACGCCTTGGAATTAAGAAGCTGTTCAATGATGGAGAAACAAATGTGTCTTGACTCGAAGAACCAACACAAAGTCCATCGGGGGCTCGTAGTAAATGACTTGAAATTCCTTCACTTTGAATAGACGAAGAGTATGACGATGATGACGATGATGCCAAGGGATTAGAGGAGTTCAAGGTTACCTCAGAAGTGTTATTCATTTCTTCAGTTATATTTTTCATTCTTGTATATTCTACTGGTTTTACAACAATGTTATTGTTTCTGTGTTGTATTTCTTCCGGAGTTTTCTTTCTATTCGCGCAATCTTCCATATCAACAAGTCGAGGGTCTTTACATGTGCTTTGTCTTTCAAGACGACGACGGCCGTACTCCGCTAAAACAGCCTTTGAATAGTAAAGACACTGAAAATGAAATCTTGAGGTAGGGCTGCGTCACATTGAGAAATGGAACTGGGAAGGGATGTAAAGGGTTGAAAAATTTTCCCATTTCCTGAGCTTGAGGCTGCCTCCCGTGAACTTGCATTACTACAATATTTTAGCCTAAATATTTTAAACCCTCGTTATTTCGGACGTTTTCCCCTGCTCACCAGGAGTTTCAAGATAAAGGGAATCTACTAAATGTAATCAATGTCTATGACTATAATATAGTAAAATGAATGCGAAAGAATTTCACTGTCTACTAATGTCGATTACATAGGTTAAGTCAATGAAATTAATAGGCCCTTTGCAGCTAGTGGTCACGTGCTTGGATACCGCTTAGCAACACAAAACTG